CAATATAATTTGGTTTAAAAATAATTAGAAGTCTATGGTTTTTTTCTTTAAAAGTACCTGTGTATTCAAGTTTTAGAAACACTTCTCTGGAGGAATCTCATGACTGGGGCAGAAAATTTATCCTTGTTAAAACCAGAGATGGTCCAGGAAGAAAAGGATTAGCGAAAGTAGTCAGTGGTCACCTAGGGTGACTGTATTTGGATGAAGCAGTCTTGGCAGAGATGAAGTGCCACATTTTTGTTTTTCACCAGCTCTACCGGCAGGAAATAGAAGGTCTTATGGATCCCTTCCACAAGCTATCTATTTTTAGAAAGTCACCTTATCAGAAAATCAGGGTATGAGGCATCAGATTCACCATGCAGGCATCTTTAGATTATGAGGGAAGTTTCTGTGCTTCTTGGTCTGAGAGCACATTGTGAAAAACAAGACACTTTTTGGGGGCTATTTCAGTGGGTTTTTGATGAAGTGGGGTTTTTCACAGTTGTTGACAGTGCTGGTGATTAACTGTGGTATGTAGCTGCATGTTTAACTCTTTAGATTATGGGGGATGGTTTCTTTCCAAAAAGTTTCCATGGTTGCCATGTATAAGCACATCTTCAACAAGAGGCCAAATAGAAGACAACGTTGTCTTGCAAATCTATAAATTAAAAGTAATGGTGTCTGACTTTCATTCAGGCAGTTTATACAACATCGCTTCCAAAAGGCCAATGAAGCAATGAGGGACTAGGTCAAATATATAGGTGTTTCTTTTCTCTGTCAGATGTATGTGTATGTCTACGTGTGTCTGTATATGTTTGTTTTATGTTTATGTTTTTTTTCTCCCTGTTTTTTTTTCCACATGTATGTAGAATCTGGCCAATAGGGCATATGCTGAATACAGTCAGGCAAGAGAAAGTGAGTCTCAGGTACCCAAATGATTTTCCAAATATCAGAGTGAGTTGCCAGTGGGCTTTTGAAGTCTATCTGAAGATTTTTTTCCCAAGTATCATATAACTGATGTAGTCCCAAGGCAGCTATTAAGAGCTGACATACAGAAGTAAAGAGAACTAAGAAAATAAATAACTTTTTTAAAAGTTTATTTAGAGAGAGAGAGAGAGAGAGAGAGAGAATCCCAAGCAGGCTCTGCACTGTCAGTGTATTTCTATGAATCCCATAAATAATAATAATGAGTAATATTTATATAGCATGGAATAGGTATCAGGCACTATGCTAAGTGAGCTATGTATATCGACTGATTTCACTTGACAACAAAACCTGTAAGGTGGGTACTATATTATCATCCTCATTTTACACTGGGAAAAAAGGTTCAGAGAGGTTATGAAGTATCTCAAGGTTGCACAGCTAGTAAGTGAAAGACCTGGGATTTGAGCCCAACTCTTCAGGCTCGGAGTCTTTTATCTACTATAATATAGTGCCAGTCACAAGGGAAAAGTCAAAGAAAACTAATTGTGGTAGTTTTTCATTCTGAAAATTATGCACAGAACTGCACATGTTTACAGAGATTGTTTTAGAATTATTTCTCTCACACATGTAGTGGGAGAATGCTTGGTAAGCATTCAGATATCTTCAGTCAAGATGGTTCACTAGAAAAAAAAATTCACAAGATTATGTGCAATATGTAGTTAAGAATAAATAGCAATTTAAAAAATCACCAAACCGTTTTCTAGTAAAAGCATGCAAAACTTTCAAAATGTTTCCTATTATCATCATGAAGAGAAACTTTAAAATTATATTTAAAAATATTCTACTTAATAACAACAACATAATCTAGCGTGTTTTGGGAATATTCAAATATCCTACCTAAGGACTGTTATTTAACGGAAAGAATTTTAAATGAATACTATCCTATTTGTGTTGTGGGGTATGATATTGTTCCTATCACTGAATCAAAATAAAAAAAGATTTACATCTTTTCAAAAGAAACTAATACAGAGAAGCTTACACATTTGCTAAAACCTAGAATAACAAGGTCTTACATAAACATGGAACCATAGCGGGGCTTGGGTGGCTTAGTTAAGCTGCCAACTTCGGCTCACGTGTCATGATCTCACATCCGTGAGTTCGCACCCGGCATCGGGCTCTGTGCTGACAGTTCACAGCCTGGGGCCTGTTTCGGATTCTGTGTCTCCCTCTCTCTCTGCCCCTCCCCCACTCATGCTCTGTCTTTGTCTCTCAAAAATGAATAAATGTTAAAAAGAAAATGAAAAAAAAAAACCATGGAACCATATTTTCTTAAATTGTAATAAAATATCTTAATATAATTGCAAACTTTGGTAGAGGTAGCTATTTTAGAGCTGGAATATGAAGAGTGTCTTCATAGACCTCAGCAAAAACCTTTGGTGGAATAGGAGAGAGATAATCTAGGTATAGGAAACATGGGGGCACAGTTGCCTTCCTGCATTCCGCTACTTGGATGAGATGGAGAAAGGATCATCCAGGTCGCATTGAGGAGGGATGGCTGCATTCCGACCTGTACTTGGATGGGGTGGGCGAGGGATCATGAAGATCTTAAAAATAGTTAAGGTGGAGCTTCACTGTCACCCTTTACACATTAAGCCACTCTTGGTATCAAACTTCCCATAGTAGTTCCTGCAACATTATTTCATGTTTTGACTTAGGAATGTTAGAAAAACAAAAGAATGAGAAATAAATACTCCTAGAAAAAAAAAAAAAAGGAAAAACAGTCAAACTGGCTAGAGGAATTTAGATTTTGAAGCAAACAAATACAATAAAAAATAAAATTCTCTAGACAAAAAGAAAGGAGGCAGATTTTCCCTAATTTTAAATGCAGTTACTATAAAAGAATTAAACGTCTCTTGTGTTAAATAAAAATCCTCTTAATGTTTTCTTTTAAGTTCATGTTGTGAATTTTTACTGTTTCCTTAGTTAAGAATTTATCATTATAACCATTAATTTGGTATACTTTTTATTGTGCAGCTACATAAAAACTCAGGACACTTATCAGACAGTATTGAAAACTCACTTTCTCACATGTATTTTATCTCTTCCTTTCTTTTTTTTAAATTTTTATTAAGACATTTCTTCTGAGTTTATTTATTTTGAGGGAGGGAGCACAAGCAGGGGAGGGGCAGAGAGAGAGGGAGAGGGAGAGACAGAATCCCAAGCAGACTCTGCACCATTAGCACAGGGCCCGATGGAGGGCTCAAATTCACGAACCTCAAGATCATGACCTGAGCTGAGATCAAGAGTCTGGACGCTTAACTGACTGAGTCACTCAGGTGCCTGTCTCTTCCTTTCTATATTGGTAAAGTACCTGCCAAAAATCATTTTTATATTTCATAAAACTTTAAGGCGCAAACATCTCCTGACTTACTCCATTGACTATAATGACAAATGAATGAAGACCTTTATTTGAATTAGTGAAGTAATCCAAACAAAAAATATTGAAACATATTGAAAATTGATTTCATGCATTTATTTTATTAGCAGATATATTGTATCACATGTATCTTTAAGCCCATTAAGTTTGTTATTCTAAACTTCCACATCTTTCACACCATAGGATTTAGCATGCTTTTTCAATATGTGACTCTTAACTGGATTAAACAAAATGTCACTGAAAGACACAGGGCTGCAAGAACACAAACAATGCAATGAAATTACTTAAGTTTACAGATAAAAAATCAGAACTAGAAAGACATTTATTCTTACCATGATTACAAAGTATTGTTTAAAAATGAGACTCAAATTCATCTGGCACTGAGTTCATTGCTCTATTTATAGAATCTAATCTAAGGACCTGAAGGCATTTGAATATACTATGTTTTCAAACTCCCTCTGAAATGTTATATGTCCTTTAATGACATCTCAAGTGCTATTAGAATTTGAATGCCTACAATTTAGGGAATTTAATCCCTAAACTACCCATTCATTTTTTAAGACCTCACATTAAAAAATAAATACTTTACAGAAAGAGACATTACTTTAGACTTCACAAATTAATCCTGATCCTTAGGCTGGCTTGAGGGAAATAAGGAAGGGTAAGGATGTGGGGAGGAGCGGATTAAAATGGAGAGGACAGAGGTTTAGGGATGTAGAGAACCTAATTTTTCTTTCACATGATAGAGCCTATATGATGTTCCCTCTTTAGCTCTCACATCTCCTTATACTTCCCAGTCGTTCTGTAAACATGTTTCCGGTTCTCTTTGTGACTTCTAAGGTATGGCATTCAGGGCTGAAGCAAATCCCACAGACGTGATCAGGTCAGCGTGGGACTAAACTCGGTATGTATATCCCACCTTCTAGATGAGGGATAGTTAACATTTGCAGTGCTTTAAATCCATCTGGGCAGACATTTTGTTTGCCATGTGCTTGCTCGTTTGTTTGTTTGTTGCAAAGACCTGCTCAGAGACTGTCTGATTCTGAATACCATCTGATTCTGATACATGGCTGGGGTGGAGAACCCCTGCCCCTGTCTCTTTTTACCCAAAGGCTACAAATTTAACAGCCACATAACTCTTCCAACTCTTGTCAACTTTACGTTTAAAACTTTCACATGGACTGCTTCTAAGCAAAATCTCCAATTCTTGAATGAGCACATGTGACTTTTAAAATTTAGGTAGGACCTTATCTTTATCCTGTTAACTTTCAGCTTTCTAGATGATTTTTAACTGCCCAGATATTTGTGGTTTCTGGTTATGTTTTCCAATATTTTACTATTTTTTCCAGCTCTGCAGTTTTGTTGGTATATTTCCTTAATGTTTGTTTAAATTTGATAAATATGCTGAAAAGTATCTTCAGGATAGCCCTAAATAGCCCAGGCATAGCCCAGAAAAGAATTTTGCAGAAATCCAAAAGAAAATTCCTTTTTGAGTGACCTAACCTTTGGGGATGGTTACTCAACAAATTCCTAATCTGTCCTGTGAGCAAACACCTGATAACAAGAACTACATTGTTTGAAAAAGCAAAGTTCTAATATACATTCCACTTCTATTTCTACCATAATATTTTTCTGGTAGCAATTTTAAAAAGATTCTTACCAAAAAAGCTAGGGACGTTGGTAGGCTGGGGAGTGAAGGAGTCATTATTCACAGAATCAAGCGGTAATGTACTATTCACAGATTCAGGCAGTAACATATTAGTTGTAGAATAAAGTGGTAATATACTCTCCGTAGTCTCAGACAGTAATGTATTATTCACAATCATATCCAGCTGGTTATCATTCACTGGGAAAAAAATACAGCCAATTAAAACACAGCAGTGTGATAAGTTCATAATTGTACATGTAAAGCAAAGCATAGTGGTTGTGTTAAGAGTAGACTTCTGAAAATTTTTTCACATTGCTATGTTAAATTAGTTAACAGCAAATATTTACTATACTCACATATATAGTTAATATACAGTTATATATACAGTTAAAAAGATAATATTTCTGTGAGCAACTTTGTAGTTCTTGGCCAAAACAGTTAACAGTTAAAGTTTAAGGCAATCCTTTAATAAATGTTATGGTTAGAAAAAAGATGATTGATTTTCTGTGGTAGGTTGCAAAGTACTACTTGCTCTCAAATTGTTATAAATCTAAGGGATTTCAGCAGCCTGATTCTTATGCCTACATTGTACTACAATATTCTCAGGAAAGAAAATTAAGTAATGTAATTTAAAAAAAATCTATGGAAATAATTTCCACTATACATTTCTTAACTTTCTATTGCTTTACAAAATTATTTATTTTATTTTAGTGAAGGGGAGAGGGAGAGAGAGGAGAGAGAGAATCTTGAGCAGTCTCCGCACTGTCAGAGCAGAGCCTGACGTGGGTCTTGAGATTATGACCATGAGACCATGACCCTAGGATCACGACCTGAGCTGAAGTCAAGAGTTGGATGCTCAACTGACTGAGCCACCCAAGTGCCCTCTTTTTTTTAAGTTAACATAGTGACTAATTTTTAGCAGATTTAGTGGATGCAAATGTATCTTCATTTGCATGGCTGGAACAAAAACTGAGTAAAGCTGAACATCTTCTAAGATGCCTTATTTTTAAAGGAATGACTCTAAATGAAGTAAAACAAGATGGGAAGTAAACTTACCTGCATCTTCACAGGTGTTCTTGCATTCCTCAAGTGATTCAAAGTTGTTTTGATTGCCAAGGCACCCACCGTACTTGAAACGTTCACACTGCTTTGTGTCATTGCTATAAAAATACCTAGTCATATAACCTCGACAGATTCCACTGTCTTCATCCAAAAAGCAGAACTCTGGCTTTTCTAGAAATTATAAAAATGTCGGAAAGAATACTCTTTTTTGTGAATAATTTGTGTTGATTAAATGTATAACTGACAAAGTGGAAGTTACTTAGTGAGTAAACATGAAAAGTGAAAGATAAAAGGTAAACATAGTACTTTATCCACAACTGCACAATATTAAATAATCTACTGCATCTACTGTGACATTTAGAATAAGAAAGATACATCTATTGTTACATATAGTTGCTATTGAAATTTCAAGTTCTAAATTTCTCATAGTAAATTAGTAGGGCAATAACTATCAACTATTTCATGAATGGAGAGAATAAAGGTATTTTATTTTACCCTTGGTTTGGAAGTACAAAATATTATGCCTAAATTTTGGTCTAATTATGTTTATTAGGCTTACGTGCATTGACATTTAGGAAAGATCTAGGAATATTTCATATTTTTCAGGGGTAGGCTCTCATTTGGGAAAGAAGTGTAATGTCTTGCGTTATTACAATGGTTTCAATTTTTAAAATATTGGAGCAGAAGCTTTGAGGCGTATGGAAGCTTTCAGAGCTATTCTTAGAAGTTCCTGAATACTTATCCTGGAATCTGTATTAGGTGTGACATCTACCACTGTGTCTCTTATTTTTCTTCTTCCAGGCATTGGAGTGACTCCAACAGTATAGAATCAGAAAGGAAATACATGTTCAGGGATTGGAGAGGCATTTGAAAAAAACCTAATACCCATTCTTTGATAGTACTCCAAACCAGACTAAACACAGCTGCCACAAAGTTGTGCCACTGTGATCTACATTACAAACCTTGTCTACATGCATACTCTGTAAAGAAGAGAATTAAATTTATTTTCAAAATTATGACCGCAAGATATATGGGGCTTGAATTTTTTAGGGCAAAGCTCCAATTTCTTCATTTTTCCCCTGCACCTATATTACCAGAGTGGCAAAATGAACTGTAGTATATCCTTTTACATCTTAAAGCAACTTGTTCTTCTGTCTCAGGGAAGCAATACTCAGGAGTGTTTTACTATGAAAAGAGCATATATTTAATAATGTTAAAGATTTCTGCAACAGTTGCAGATCTTCAGAAAAAAAAACAATTTCCCATGAGAGCACTGTTTTATTAAATAAAACATTCTATTTAATATAGTATAAAATATCTACTTTCTATTACTTCTCAAAGTACCAATTTGAAGGTTATTTTGTTTGTTCTTTATTGCCTCTTGTTTCTCAAGGTGAATGTTACTATTATTCCCATAGGAACAATTTGTGGTTAAGTTTATGGCACAAGGGAAAAAAAAACAATTCTAAATTTTTGTAATGCTTTTCTATAAGAGAAAGAGCAAAAAATACATTCAAATATTATTTTGATACATTTTGACCTTAGCGTGTACTTATTAAATTTGAAATCATCTTGACAGAGAATATAAGAATTCTATGTTTAACAAAAAGGAGGAGGTAAAATATATTGCATATAAAAATAGAAAACAATAAGAAACTATGCTGAGAACTATAATTAAGAAATTCTGCCACTACAAGTTGTTATTTATGGGGACCCATTGTAGGATATGAATTTATTTTAGGACAGAGTTGAAATTGCACATTTGCAAAATAATTCTCCTTGGGTCTACAGTTTAAAATAAGGCTACAAATCAAGAAACTCATGCACTATATTCCTCAGATAAAGTAATATTCGTATTAAATCTATATACACAATCCTTGGCCTAAACTGATGCTTGGTTGAAACACAAAATACAGACTTCAAGCTATAGACCAACCTCCACAAACCACATTAATTTTCACTGTTAACTTTTGTTTGAGGCTGCATACTTGACAATTGTTTTAAACCAGACCATTTCAAAATGGTTGCCTTTATAACTGTTCCAATATTGATGCTAGAAAACATATCACAGAGTTAACTTCAAATTGATATGCTTAGAGGTCTTTATTATACATTGGTTATGGCATCTGAACATTTTTTAACACATGTGAATAGTATTGATAGCTTTAGTCTCTAATTTCCATGTACTATATCAATTAAGAACGAAGAGAAGAGGAACTCCTAACTAGGAAACTAATTACCTACCTACCTACCTCACTGCTCTCTAACAACCTTTTAAGCCAAGCAACTTTGCCACCTACCTCCCTGACTCTTGACAAATGTATTCATTCAAGTTGCTCCTTGATCTTTGCTCTTCCTTTGACACAGCATATCTCTCGTCCCTGGGTCTCCTACTTATTGTCATATCTCCTACAAACGCTGAAGTTGAACTCTACAGATTGGGGATTCTGGAGGCTTGGTGATCTCACTGAGCAAAGCAATGCAGTTGAACTGGAGTAGGTTATAATCAAAATTGAGGAGCCCTTATTTTGCTCTTGAATATAACCACTATTCTAGGATGATTAAGAACTCCATAAACCTACACAGGATGAACATTTTTGCCTTGTATCTAAGGAAATGATATATATATATATTTTTTCTTGAGTTAATTCCAATCTGACAAAACTCAGAAAAAAATGTAGATTCACAACTTGTTAAAGGTAAAAGAATTGTTTCTCTGAATATGCTCATTTTATAGAGGAAAGGAAAGGGAAAAAGGGATTCAATTAGGGGAAGTGATTCCTGTGGTTCTTAGGTAAGCGCCTGTGTATCCCATGTTCTTTTCCCTCACATCTAATAATGTATACTGTGCTTTACAGTTTATAAGATTGTATTTCATACAGTGTCAATATTTTTACTGTTTGGAGCCAATTAACTTTGCTAACAATAAGATACTGCATTTTGGGAAAAATATTAACATGAATTAGTAAAAAAAAATGGATTCTAAATTATTAAATGTACAATAAATACCATAATTATATGTTAAATTTTATCTGCATGTAATTTTTTCCTAATTTCACATTTTTATAAAAACATTCTAACATTTAAATATTGGTATTTCCTTTCTTTTAATTGAAGCATTGAACATTTTTGTAAAGATTAACTCGGCATTTTAAGAAAGCTAATTTAAAATTTGTAAGTAAATATATCCATCAATGGTATTTGTACAAACTTTGCCACTGAATTTATTTTACAAATTTTGATTCAAAGTCTAATGTCTTAAGGTTATCACTCACAAATCTTTCAACTCCCTCACACAGTTAAATCAAAGTCAGTAAAATTGAAATACACTGAATTTTGTAGCTTTTTCATGTCTGAGTTAAATAATTTGATCTCATTGTTTATTGTTATGTCATTCAAATGCAAATGATATAAATGGTAATTGGACCAAGTAAGTTCCTAGACTTTCCTAAAAGGAGAATATCTTTCTTAATATACTGGTACATTTTTTCATGTGCTAATATAATATATTCATCAGAAAATAATTATTTTTAGGTAAAATCAATAAATAAAATAATTTAAATCACAAAATAAAAAGTATGCACACACACTAAATAACATTGACAAGAGCACTTATTGTTAAATATTTCCATTTACTTCTGCATACAGACTGTTGACAACTCAAAGGCATATATTCATTCAGGGGAATACTGGATAAAGCTTGCCAAAGCTACACAATGCTGAGATATCAAGGGATTAGAGCTCTGAGAACTAAAGATTAGAGGCATCTAAAGTACTGTTCCGGAGATGTTGAAATAGCATGTGCATGACTCTGGAATGTGACTGATCTAATACTAAATATCATGCTTTATTAAAATGGGTGTAAATATAGCATCTGAAGGCTTCCCTACCAAATAGCATGTATTTGTTTCTAATTTTTCATTATATCTACTGAAAACACCATTTCAAAGATGGCATGGGGTTATGATGAACTCCGTATCAAAGAAAACTAAAAATTGAATTTCTAAGTGCCTTACACACATTCTAGTTAGCATAGAAATGAATGTTTACCTTTTTCTAATGTGGTCTCTGTCCTGGTCTTTACATAATCTGCGAGAAAAACATGTATCAATTACCACAAGTTATAAATAAATTACATATACATTTCAATGTAAAAAAATTAGAATGATGTGTTTATTACCATTAAAATTATTCTTTCCTATGTCAATAAATAAATTTCTTATCTAAAGATTAATTTTATATTATAAATATGAAGCCATCTACATTGTAACATAGTACTGTCTCAAAAATGATGTTGAAAGTTTCTAACACATTGACAAAAGCAAGAATTCATGGTGAACTTCATTTGCTATTCAAAAGATCTGTGATTAAAAGTGATTAAGATATGGGGTGCCTGTGTGGCTCAGTCAGTTCAGCATCTGACGCTTGATTTCGGCTCAGGTCATGATCTCACGGTTCGTGAGTTCAAGACCCACATCGGCCTCTGCACTAACAGTGAGAAGCCTGCTTGGAATTCTCTCTCTCCCTCTCTCTGCCCCTCCCCGCAATGCACTGTCTCTGTCTCTCAAAAGAAATAAATAAACTTAAAAAAAAAAGTAATTGAGATAGAATCTACTCCTGAAACCAAGAACACACTGTATACACTGTATGTATTAGCTAACTTGGCAATAAGTTATATTTTTAAAAAGTCATTAAGATAATGTGAAATATGGAAGTAATTCAAGTAGCCTACTTTGCATATAAAAACAGGCAATTTCTATAGAGAATTGATAGTAGGGGTGGAAAAAACCAGAATTATCTTTTTTCCTGATTCCTTTCCCTGAATAATTATTTCAACCCAATTACAAGTTGTATTATTATTTCCAAGTACAGAAGAGAAATGAAACAAAAAGTATCTGTGACATATTTTTTGGTTTAACATCAAAGAATCAATGGAATGACTCCACTCAAGAACTAGGATGCGACTTGTCTTTGACCCACCATATAAAAGTATGGATTCTAAGTTCTAATTTAAATGACAGGTAATGAGGGGTGCCTGGGTGGCTTAGTCAGTTTAGCTTCCCACTCTTGGTTTCAGCTCAGGTTATGATCTCACAGTGGTTCCTGAGTTCAAGCCCCAACTCTAGTTGCAGGGCGTGGAGCCCTACTTCAGGCTCCTAAGATTCTCTCTCTCTCTCTCTCTCTCTCTCTCTCTCTCTCTCTCTCTCAAATAAATAAACTTTAAAAATTAACGATAGGGGGTGCCTGGGTGGCTCAGTCGGTTAAGCGTCTGACTTCAACTCATGTGACGATCTCGCGGTCCGTGAGTTTGAACCCGCGTCGGGCTCTGGGCTGATGGCTCAGAGCCCGGAGCCTGCTTCCGATTCTGTGTCTCCCTCTCTCTCTGCCCTCCCCCCGTTCATGCTCTGTCTCTCTCTGTCTCAAAAATAAAATTGATTAATATGTGGTTTTAATTTACTCATGTAAAAGTAAAGCTGAGTGATGCTTGTTGTACAATCATTTGGTTTACACAGAAGAGCTTTGGTCAAGGCAGCTTATAATTAGTTGTATGGCCAGAGAGACAGGCAAAGAGGGAGACTGAGAGAGAAAGAAAGAGAGAGAGAATAAGTTGGCTCATATACCTCTTTCAGAGCCAAATCAGCAGTTGGGTTATTTTTTGGAGAATAAAACATCTTTGAAAGAGAAGGTAATGAAGTCTCTTTTTTGAATTTTGAAAACTATGTTTCATTCAATAGTCTTTTAAAAAAGATATATTTCTAATTGTATTTTTAATATTAAGGAAACCTCAGGAGTCTTTTTCGTTGTAAATAAAAACCTCTCATTTAATGTGCTTTAATTAGATAGTGAATTGTTATAATAGGCTTATACTAAAATATTTTTATATACAACTCATTTGTTACAGTTTTAATTTATGAGAGCAAAAGAATATATACAGATAAACATTATATCAGGCTAGACTGCTAAATAGTTTATACTGTTTTGCCTACAACAGCCATTGGATGGGAACATAGAAATGCCTAATTTCGGGGCGCCTGGGTGGTGCAGTCGGTTAAGCGTCCGACTTCAGCCAGGTCACGATCTCGCGGTCTGTGAGTTCGAGCCCCGCATCAGGCTCTGGGCTGATGGCTCAGAGCCTGGAGCCTGTTTCCGATTCTGTGCCTCCCTTTCTCTCTGCCCCTCCCCTGTTCATGCTCTGTCTCTCTCTGTCCCAAAAATAAATAAACGTTGAAAAAAAAAATTAAAAAAAAAAAGAAAAAAAATTAAAAAAAAAAGAAATGCCTAATTTCAACGTTCAAGCAGTTTTAAAAGAGATAACTTGTTTGTTTTCTGATTCCATTCCAAGTTTGATTAGTTTAGCTGTTATACATGTGAATTAACTCAACTATGTGATTCAACACACTAGAATTTAAATGTTTTTATATTACCAATGATTATCTTTTAGGATTCTGAAAATAAGAACCATGAACACCCTATTTAATTGATAATTATGCCAATTACAGTCTGAAAAATAGATAAGTTTTACAGTAAATTATCCAAATTGTCGTATTTTCCTAGATTTATTTAGAACATAACATTTACTGGGACACGTGGGGGGCTTAGTCAGTTAAGCATCTCTTGACTTTGGCTCAGGTCATGATCTAACAGTTCATGAGATTGAGCCTGCATCGAACTCTGTGCTGACAGCTCAGAGACTGCTTGGGATTCTGTCTCTCCCCTTACCCTGCTGGTGCACATATGCGTGCTCTCTCTCTCAAAATAAATAAATAAACTTAAAAAAAAACATAACATAGGGGCACCTGGGTGGCTCAGTCAGTTAAGCGTCCGACTTCAGCTCAGGTCATGATCTCACGGTCTGTGAGTTTGGGCCCCACATCGGGCTCTGTGCTGACAGCTTGGAGCCTGGAGCCTACTTGGGATTCTGTGTCTCCCTCTTTCTCTGCCCCTCCCTTGCTCATGGTCTCTGTCTCAAAATAAATAAAAACATTAAAAAAAAACCCATAACATTTACTAATGATATATTAAGGAGTAATGAGAGTATATTTTACTAATTCCCATTTTAGTAATTCCTTTAACCCCAATATATATGAATTCACATTTTTTTTAAATTTTTTTTCAACTTTTTAAATTTATTTTTGGGACAGAGAGAGACAGAGCATGAACGGGGGAGGGGCAGAGAGAGAGGGAGACACAGCATCGGAAACAGGCTCCAGGCTCCGAGCCATCAGCCCAGAGCCCGACGCGGGGCTGGAACTCACGGACCGCGAGATCGTGACCTGGCTGAAGTCGGACGCTTAACCGCCTGCGCCACCCAGGCGCCCCGAATTCACATTTTAAATATTTTATTACAAATATTAAAATGTAATTAATATCCAATAATTTAGTTCATAATTATAGGACACATTTTAGGAATTGTAACTTAATCTATTCTTTTTTCATCTTTTTTCTCTTGTGTAGGAGAGCAGAGAGTAAGAGCTTAAGACTAATTTTTAATGTTTCTTATTTGTTGAAATCAGCCTGGAAAATATTCTAAGCAGGTAGGAAAATGACTATATGGACAGAAGACTCTCATTAGTAAATAGGTCTTCACAATTCTGAACAAATAAAACATGAAATGACAAAGTTAAAAATAAGGAGAATGGAAAAAGTATTTACATGCTCTTTAATTCCTTATGGAGAAAATCCCCATGAAAGCCCCATGAAAAGTCACTACTAGCCCAACCAATAAAATAGTAATTAATATAGACAGCATACTCTCTAGAGCCTTTAAACCTGTTTGAGGAATTGATGAAATTCTATGAAATTAAATATACCTATTTTAACTTTGCTGTAGAGGCTGACTGGTTATAAAGTTAATGAGAATTTGATGTCTTTCATCTACTTCTTTAATTTCCGACACTACAATGTGCCTATTTTCCCAAAAATAGCAATCAAAGATAATGTTGTGGGAAAAAAAGCAACTAACCCAAAAGACAAAACATCTTGAAAGCCATGCATCTAAAGCCATTTTGCAAACTTTTTATTTTTTAAAACCTATTAACTTCGTTTCCATGCCTCTATTATTACATAGGTAAACACACCAAACAAAAGTATACATATTTGAAAACAGCTAACAAAGCAACTTTACATGCACAAGGAGAGCTGTGCGTACATATCCAACTAAACACATTCATAGTTCCTGAAATGTTTGGCTTGCCCTGTTCTCAGGCATGGTAGTTCACAAGCTATAGTTCTCATTGGTCTTCCCTCATAATACAGAATTTCACCTTTCAAGCCGTGCTATACAATGTATGTCATATGTTTTACGTGCTGCATACTTATACCATCTTCCCTTTCCCTAGGAAAAACACTTAAAAATTGGTATGAATTTCTATAATGAAACATCTAATAGCATTCTGTCAATAATTTATGCTTAAGTAATTACATATTAAACAAAACCCAACAATTTCTTAAAATGGTCACATTGTCTTAGTTAATTGTAAAATAATTAGGTTCTCTGCATAAAGAGGACCACTTTTGAGAGATTTCACTGGCTGCTTCTATAATATTCATACCTTATGTCAACTAAGCAGCATGTTTTATTTATTTATTTTTTAATTTTTTTTTTCAACGTTTTATTTTTTTTGGGACAGAGAGAGACAGAGCATGAACGGGGGAGGGGCAGAGAGAGAGAGGGAGACACAGAATCGGAAACAGGCTCCAGGCTCCGAGCCATCAGCCCAGAGCCTGACGTGGGGCTCGAACTCACGGACTGCGAGATCGTGACCTGGCTGAAGTCGGACGCTTAACCGACTGCGCCACCCAGGCGCCCCCCAAAAAAATTTTTTTTAATAAAAAAAAATATATATAATTTAGTAGACAGAGACATGAGCAGACATGGCAGGATAAAATGACAACATGTTGATGTGGTTATTTTCTAATGTTTCCAAGTGCTTTCAAGCCTACGGTCACATTATTTACTTGAAAGGATCTTTCCCTTGGACAAGTAATATAAATATTTGTGTAAGTAACATTAATGATTTGTCTATGTAATTATCACATCCTCAATGTGCACAGGAAGAAACAGAGTTTCAGAGAGTAACAAGTAACATTCAGGTTGAAACGAAGCAGAGCTTTTATCATGTTTATTACTCTTTCTTTATTAAACTGTTATTCTATTTATAAAAATAATATGTCCATCTTCATAGAAAATCAAATAACCATGGTTGTGTACTGTTTCTAGACTATTTATTCTGTTCCACTGATTTCTGTCCTTATACTCACATCCTCCTCAATTTTTGCGGCTGTACTATAACTCTTGAAATCAGATAAAATTCTCCAAACTTGCTCTTTTATTCAGAATTGTTTTGCCATTTTAGGTCTTTTCTATTGCATATCAATTTTAGAGTTGACTAATTAATGTACAAAGAAAAATGTGCTGGAATTTGATTGGAATAGGATAGAATTTCCAGATCCATTTGGGGAGAATTTATATCCTAACAACAATGAGTCTTTCAATCTCTTAATAGGTTTTCTATCTCTGTTTATTAAAGTCTTCTTTATTTGCCAATGACTTTTTAACAATGTTTTATAGATCTCATTGTACATGTTGTGCACTTTTGAATTTATATCCACCCCTAAGAATTTCATGTTCCATTATTTTAAATGGAATTGTCCTTTTAAAAATTTTGTCTAATTTTCTATTTGTTCATTGCCAGTATGTGTATATAAATATTTACACTGTCCTTTCATCCAGTGAGATAACTAAAATCTTCTGCAAGTTCTTATAATTTTTCATCAATATATTTGGGTTTTCTCTCCGTTATATGAGAACTCTGGGAGTTGTCCCACTTACAAATCACTATAATTATTTTCTCAAACTTAAGGAATTTCATCAAATGCATGCAGTTTTGTTATTCAGTGACAAATTCAAAGAGACCCTTATCCAGACTTTTTACCTTTTTCTCCACATATGTCCATTGTCTCCAACATATTATGCCTCAGAGCCCAGTCACCTCAATCCCCAATCTCCAATTCCATATTCTCTACCAGGGAAACCACCATGCTGTGTTTGGGCTCCCCTCCAGTGACTGTGGTTTGGAAGCGTGTTCATGCAGAAAGCTGAGAGAAGGCAAGCCTCACCTCACGTGTCCCTTCTCTCAAAGATCGCAAGCCTGCACTGCCTTTTTTGTTTTAATTTTTGTAATGTTTATTTATTTTTGAGGGAAAGACAGAGCATGAGCTGGGAAGGGGCAGAAAGAGAGGAGACACAGAATCTGAAGCAGGCTTCAGGCTCCTCTGAGCTGTCATCACAGAGCCTGACATGGGGCTCGAACCCATGAACCATGAGATCATGACCTGAGCTGAAGTCAGACACTCAACTGACTGAGCCAACCAGACACCCCTGCACTGCCTTTTGATCAATGTCTGCAAACAGTTGCTTCATATATTTTGTCCACTTTTCTAGTCATTTGTATTATGAGAGAAAATTCAGTTCCAGCTACTCCATCATAGCTGAAGATGGAATTGCTCCTTTGATGATTTTTTAAAAGTCTAGCAATGCTTTTTCTATATGCTAGCTATATCCTTAACAGTAGCTTTCTATATAAAACGCTCAGATATTCAAACAATAAAACATAAGTGGCTTTTGAAGATGTAATAAGGATATGGAAGCAAGAGACTCGTATTTATACATTAGGTATATGAACAGATAATAATGTTTTAGAAGATATTATAAGCAAGACAGTCAGTGAAGAACCAAATGATTATGTTTGATTAATTCCTAAAGAAAAGGGTTACTTTTGCACAATGGTGAAATAAACGATTTGTGAATTGTAAAAAAGAAACAAGTGTGTATTTCAGGAAGGAGGCCAGGTGATGAAAATGTGTTGGCTGCTAAACGAAAAAGTGAGAATTACAAAGAATGAAGCAACCAGGCCTCTGAGCCAAGGTGCTGAACCTGAGTGATATTCAACTCAACACAGAAGGATACTTGGCCCAGTATGGAAGAGAAAGAGGTATAATGAATGGAAAATGACCTGGCAATCACAAAAACCAAAGGCACTACAGAGGATCACTGAACTGCTTAATCTGTGTTAGTAACATTTCCAGCACATCTATGGAGAAGAAAGAAGGAAATAAGTGCTCTGAGGTCAAGGAAATACATTCGCATCAATCCTTTTCTGTCAGCTCTGGAACATACAACAAAGCACCCCACAGAGTCACAGAGGAGAAAAGTTCTCTCTTTTCACCAAACTGACATTTTCCCACAGGCAAGAGCATCATGATGCCAAGGCTGTTTTGTAAAAGCTATTCTGGAAAACATTATCAAAGTGAAAATGCACAGCTGCCTGTTTTGCGAAAAAGCAAGGCACCTAGTGTTACTAACTAAAGATATCGTCTCTATAGTACTACAGTTTCATTCAACGAGCTAAGAACACACTATGGGGAAATTTGGGGCTACAAACTGGGGAAATAAACATAATTCAGCTTCTTCTATCCTTTAAATAGCTCACAATTCAGAAGAATAAAAACAGAGACAAAAGCATTCAAAATGTGACCAGAAGTGATTTGGGATTTATCACGAGACGAGATGAAACCACATTATAGTTTGTAAAATTCAGGAAACAATGCTGTTTTAATAGGATTAAAGCAAAATAAAAGTGTTCAATAAACCTTAACAATATAATATGATATACTTTTAAACATTATTACTTAGTAAAAATATGAAAAGTTGAGCTCAGTAAAATCTACAGGGGTCAGTAAGTATAGTATTTTCTACAATATTCCAAGGTCCCAGAGAAAATGACTTAATTTTCATATATATATGTATTTCTTCTTTTTTTTAATGTTTATTATTATTATTATTGAGAGAGAGAGAGAGTAGGAGAGGGGCAGAGAGAGAGAGAGAGAGAGAATCCCAAGCAGGCTCCTCACTGCCAGTGCAGAGCCCAGTTCAGTGCTTGAACTTAACAAACTATGAGATCATGACCTGAGCCAAAATCAAGAGTCAGATGCTTAACTGACTGAGCCACCCAGATGCCCCTATTTCTGCTTTCTGATGCAGTTTAGAATTTTCTCATTAGTAGCCACTGAGAGCCTCAAAGTGGATTCTCAGATTCATTATTTTGACAGGAATAGCTAGAAGATCACTGTACTGATAAGGAAAGACCAAGTCAGTGTGACTAACAGCTCACAGCTGCCCAGGAAGACTGAATTATACTCACTTCATTGCAGATATAAAATTAGTGAACTTAAAGGTTTTTCTTCTTTATTATGGAGAAATAAATATAGGATAATAAGTGGGGCTTAATATAACTTATGATAACTGATATAAACAATGAAAAACGATATTTGCACATGAATGTGCCAAAAATGTGAACAAAATGTTCCTTGGAATGTTAAAATAGTTTAACTTTTTTTTCTAAAATTATCAAATCTATCATTAGATCTAATAACCCTGAACTTTTTGAAAAAGTTAAAGGAACCTAATGGCTCTTGGGTAATAATTGTCCCCAGAAACCTACCTCCTATACATTTTTCTTCGCACTCTTCCAGGCTTTCAAAGCGATTCTGATTTCCTTCACATCCTCCATATATAAATTCTTCACACTGTTGAGTGTGAATATTGAAAAAAAATTTCGTAAGGATTGCTCTGCATGGGCCATTATCTGCTTTCAAAGCACAAAATGAATGTGCAAGTTTCAGTGGTGGTAACCCATCATCTACAAGGTAAAAATAAAAGATATATAAGCTTTCATCAATACTGCAATAACGTTCTTTATTTTCATTTCCTTTTCAGAATGTCCTAATTTTTCTGAAAAAGTACAACAGAAATAACACAGGCTGAAGAAACCATGACAAGTTATTCAAGATTATCCAACAGGTACATAAAGTTTATAAACACACCAATGAAACAGGTTTTATCAACTATTAGAGTTTAATAGTTGATTACTGATTATTAAAGGAAAATGTAGAATAGTTTTCTAGACTCTTGCTATGGATTTGTTTAAAAATATACCAGTTGATCAATGTGGAACTGAGTAGCAATTGTAAGGTAACAAGTGTGTTGACATTAGAAATTAAATAGAGACATCTTTTTAAATTCAGCAGTTTTTAAGGGCAGACATTGACGTCAACTCTTTGATTTGCTCTCTCTAAACCACAGTTGTGCCATTTTTTACACATAACTTGCTACAAACAATAGTATATCTAGATTCATATATCTGTGTACTATATCATACCATGTTAAACCATTTCCCTAATTATGAAAGTATAGGTGTTTGATATTACAAGTACATATATATCATGGTCCATTCTTTTACTTACCATGGTTGGTAACGGTATTTTAGCAATGTTGAAAAAGTTATACAACACTGTCTATGTTTTAAAATAGAATGAGGCAATATTTTGATCTTGAGTTAGAATTTTTTTTCCCTCAGTATTCCGTCACTTATTTTAGTCACAGAAGAATTTCATATCTTGTGAAGGGAGTTGTACATACAGAAAACTCAATTTTTTTCATTTTAATTTTTTTTTTAATTTTTTTATTTTTTAAAATTTACATCCAAATTAGTTAGCATATGGTGAAACAATGATTTCAGGAGCAGAATTTTTAAATTTTATTAAGTCCAACAATAGAGGCCTAATTTTAAAGAAGTTGCATTTGCTTATAGATTTATCAGTATGATAGACATGGACAATTGTGGCTGGTACCACCAAAATAATAAAGACCAAATAATGCCATTTCGTACTTCTGAGGATTGTCTATAATATATTTTCTAAGACTTTAAGTATTCACTCTGGTCACTTCTGAGGGATATTGAAACCTCAAAATGACCTAAACCAATTTACCCTTCAGAGGGCAGCAGTATTCTGCTAAGTGAAAACTGATGAAGTCTAGGTATCTTCCCCCAAAGGGTTTTAATACACTATAAAATAATTTACATTGAAAAATATGAATGAATGTCATCATTGTAAAAATATATGCAACATTTTAAAAGCATTAAATAAAAAAAAGTTTGTGGATATAAATCATCGAGAAGGAAATCAGTGCTGAATTCCTGTAATTTCAAAATTTCTGTGAATTTTTTGAAAGAGAAGATAGGCATATCATCAAAGTTAGAATAGGTAAGTTTATCTAATGTCTTCTACCCTTCAGGTTTTGTTATTTTAATGACCTATATCGAATTAATGTCTAGCTTTAGCTATATTTCAGTAATGTTAAAATTCTTTGTGATAAAATAATTGGAATATTATTTTTCATTTTCTATATGGGTCATAAAATGATAACTATGCCCTGAAATCTTAGAAGGATTAAAAATATAGCTTTCTATGCATAAGTTATTAATATGCTGTTTCATTCACTCCATGGTAATTATTTATGAACATGTAAATTTTATCTCAACCCCTTAATGCAACTTTTATTTTTATTTATTTATTTATTTATTTATTTATTTATTTATTTATTTATTTATGGCTTATATATATTTTTCAATATATGAAATTTATTGTCAGATTGGTTTCCATACAACACCCAGTGCTCATCCCAAAAGGTGCCCTCCTCAATACCCATCACCCACCCTCCTCTCCCTCCCACCCCCATCAACCCTCAGTTTGTTCTCAGTTTTTAAGAGTCTCTTATGCTTTGGCTCTCTCCCACTCTAACCTCTTTTTTTTTTTTTTCTTCCCCTCCCCCATGGGTTTCTGTTAAGTTTCTCAGGATCCATATAAGAGTGAAAACATATGGTATCTGTCTTTCTCTGTATGGCTTATTTCACTTAGCATCACACTCTCCAGTTCCATCCACGTTGCTACAAAGGGCCATATTTCGTTCTTTCTCATTGCCACGTAGTACTCTATTGTGTATATAAACCACAATTTCTTTATCCATTCATCAATTTAATGCAACTTTTAACCATAAAAAAAATCTAAGTTTAATTTATAAAATACCATATCACCATTTTTATTTCTTTGATAATATAATTGACATTTTTTTCAATTGAAATAAATGGAGCTGACAAATTATAGAACAGTTAAGTTTTCGGATTCCAAATGTGATAAGGTAGAAAAACATAGAACAGAGATTTATTATGACATATAGATCTTCATCTACAAAAGACATATATACTTTCACACCAAACACAATTTTCATGAACTGGCTAATTACAAGTTAGAATACTGGTCAAACCTTTAACTAATTTGAATTTTATGCACCTGTGCACTTGTCTGTTTTCAGCTTCCTGTGGGGTATGTGCAGTTGAAAAATATAATTTGGGTGTTTATACGATATTTTTAAGTAATTGTTATACCAATTATATAATGTCCTAAAAGCCAATCAATCTCTATAATATATATGTAAATAGTTTACGAAATGAGTAAATAACGTTGATTGACATATATAAATTTAAATCTCATTTCCTTTTCTTTTTAATGATGTACCTAATATTTTATGCCGATGAACTTTTTGAATATGATTGGCTTCAAAATGTGTCTAAAAAAATTAAAAAATTAAGAAATAAATAAAATGTCTCTCAAGGCATATTAAAAGTTTCTGGCATCTAATAATGTGTACTTCAGAATTATAATTTTGCTTAAATGTTCTTAGACTTCCCTGAAATTTTATTTTCTTAAATTATACACACAGGTGCTTTTTTCTATAGTTCATGATAAATGTTATATATATAAGAGCACTTATACATAATACATATACATTATATACAACAGCATTTTAGAGTTGGTAAAAATATTTTCCATAGAGAAATATGTAAATATAAAGAAAAAATGATTTGTGAAAAAATATCTTTCCCATTCATCACTGAAATTACAGTTGTCAGTTTGAGTTCAATAATGACTGAAAGGCTTTTCTGAGCGGTAGTATATTTGTGAATAATTGTAAATGCTGCTTATATTCCCTTTCTTTACTTAAAGATTTAGAATACTGTGACTGACATTCTGACCTGTTAAAAGTTGTGAGAAGCTAGAAACTTTGCCTCAAAGACTCTAAGCAGTGCACTCGATTGAGAGCAGACCCACGATAAGTATCATTGCATTAGCACAATGTATTTGTGGATGCATTTTTATGTGACCGATAAAAATTTGACCTGTCAGTTCTATAAATGTCTGATCTTAGAATAGGTCTCAGGATCTCAGGAGTAACATAAATAATTTTGAGAATTAGCTAGGAATAATAAATAATATTCAGATATTTTGAAGCTTATGGCTTATATCCCATTTTTTCAGAAATTCCTATAGCGCTCCTCATAATATTATGATTCCTTATTCCCATGTTGATGCTACCTCAGATATTCAGAAATCGTCACATCTTCATTGATGACTCCTCTGATTTTGACTTTTGATGTATTTGATAGTCCTATTCATCATGCCAAAACTTTTACTTTACATTTTGTCTATTAAACAAATATCGCTCCCTCAACTTGCTATTTAGTAATTATGCCACCAGGTGGCAGGCCATCACCACAAAAACGAAAGCTAGTACCATATTTATGCCTGTAGTAGTAGTAACAGCTGTTGTTTATGAATAATTGTGCTCCAGACATTTTGTAATTGTATTATTTAATAATCACAACAACCTTCTGAATTAGGTATTTTTATTTTATTTTTTATTTTTATTTTTTTAATTTTTTTTTTCAACGTTTATTTATTTTTGGGACAGAGAGAGACAGAGCATGAACAGGGGAGGGGCAGAGAGAGAGGGAGACACAGAATCGGAAACAGGCTCCAGGCTCTGAGCCATCAGCCCAGAGCCCGACGCGGGGCTCGAACTCACAGACCGCGAGATCGTGACCTGGCTGAAGTCGGACGCTTAACCGACTGCGCCACCCAGGCGCCCCTGAATTAGGTATTTTTAAATACCATTTTAAAAATTATAAAATAGCACTATCGAAATTAATTGCTCAGTTCACACCATAAGTGCTGGCTTTAGAATTGACCCCACATAGTTTTACACCAAATATCTCACACATTCTTAACATTGAGTGATACTGTCACAGATCTGCATGACTGAGATTTCTAGATTGGCATTTAGGTCAAGGACATAGATTTAATCCTAGGATTTCCACTCAATACATTTTTTTTCTCAAATTTACTTTATAAAAACTAAAAATGTTTCAATAATGAAAGCAGGTGATTTTACAACAACTTCCCAAATGAAACACTAAGAATTAATTGTAAACTATATTTTATTAAGTTATTACCTGGTTCTTTATCGTTACTGTTCACATTTTAATGTATTTTTTAGATGAATCATGTATTAGAATATTGTGTTGTCCCATCAGCTTACGACCCACACTTTGCACATCGCTGACGTGGGGGAGTGATGAGGTGTGCTCCCTTGAATGTGGTGCCATGCACTCCATCCAAAAGGGATGCAAGTCTGTCTTGGTTTTTATTTCTTACTTCGGATAAATCCTTTTGAAAGTTAACAATCGTGTGTTGATATGTGTCAGGCACTGAGCGGTCAGGGCGGATGTGATAGTACAAATATCAGGTGGCAGCAGACACCCTCCCCCCCCCCCCACACACACACACTCATGTAGCATGCAGACACTGAAGACTTACTTACATAAATATTCAGGACGTTCAAGGTGCTGTGTTTGTGTGTACTAAGATGCCTAAGCTTGTCTGAAGGATCAGGGAGAGCTTTCCTGAGACTTGAAACTGAGACTTGAGGAAAGTGTTAGTGACAAGGATCTGCCTAACACCAAGTAACTAGAAAACACATACAGAGCAGTATAACAGGAATTTAATCTGATGCAGCCAGACAGAATTATGGTTTATATTATGTCATTTTTGTCATTGATTTCTTGTATTTTATGTCTCATAGTCTGAGGATTTCAGTCTCCCTTCCCCCTGCCCTGGGATGTTGGATAGAAGGCTCATGATAATATTTGGGGATATGTCACATCCCTTTTAGAGTCCTCATTCTCCTGGAACTTGTTTGGGAGTCTAGAGTTTTAATGGAATTTACTATTTAAGAACGCAGCCATGGGGCGCCTGGGTGGCTCAGTCGGTTAAGCGGCCGACTTCGCTCAGGTCATGATCTCGCGGTCCGTGAGTTCGAGCCCCGCGTCAGGCTCTGTGCTGACAGCTCGGAGCCTGGAGCCTGTTTCAGATTCTGTGTCACCCTCTCTCTGACCCTCCCCCGTTCATGCTCTGTCTCTCTCTGTCTCAAAAATAAAAATAAAAACGTTAAAAAAAAATTAAAAAAAAAAAAAAAAGAACGCAGCCATATGCTCTGACTTCTCCCTGCCACAAAATGTGCCAGGTGCTTCTACGCAGTTCATATAACAACCATATGAACATAATTATTTACATCTTTATATATAAAGACACTGGGAGTCAGAGAGTTTACATAACTCACCTAATTTTGCAAAGCCACTGAGTGACAAATCACACATCCAAACTTAGGTCTGTCTGATTCTAAATCTTATGAAGGACACCTGCTTTTCTTTAAATGCTCCCTGCTAATCTTCTCTCTCCCACTCTAAAGGAATTTAAAAAAAATCTTGTCACTACCGTTTTTTATTATCAAAAGGTTTATTGTTTTTCATCCTCCCCGCTGGTTAGACTGATTAAGAAAAGTTCTACTATTCCCTTGTGAGAGAAGCAATAAAACCTTATGTTTTCTTATAAGATGATAATACTCTATTCAATGAAATGGTATACTTCTATAAAAAGATGTCATGACTTTGGCACAGTGTGATAAATGGTATCTTCAAAATTGAATGGATTCTGATATGGAATCATGTTATTGAAAGATTAATTAAAAACAAAACCCCAAGCCCCAAAACTGGTTAAGACTGTGCAGCTAGTCAGTTTAGTGACCTTCAAGTCTAACTTTGAGATAAAGGTGTTTTCTTAGCCAGCTTGGTTTTTTCTGAACTTATCCAGAGATTTTAAACTCTGGCTTAATTATTGGTGGGTTAATTCTGGCTTGTTGGCCGACTGTGGCAACAGCAACATTTTCAGGAAGCTTCTGGTGACCTGGCGTGCATTTTCTCAGGCTAACTGAGGAGATTAGATTAGGTCAATATTGGGGATCCTCTCTCCTCCCACCTCCCAAGATGGGTTGCCCGCTGTTTCCCTGTTGGGATTTTATTCTCTACATTCCTTCTCTGCTCAACTTCCAGAATATCGGAAGCTATCTCTTTTGATAAATGGGGCAAATGAAGAATTAGAGCTTATTTCATAATGCCTAAATTCTCATTTTATAAAAGCAGATTATAGTGTTTATTAAATAGTTTCATTTTTAGGAAATTTTTATAACAATTTTTTTTTCACTGGCAATAGAACAGTCTCTCCGTGAAACAGATTCTTGAGAACTTGGTCTGACTCATCACTGCTTCCCTAGGACCTACCAATCTCAGGCACATAATATATATTTATTTAGTCTTTATCAAAGGGAAATATATTGAATTAAATCCCTTTAAAGAGTGGTTAGATATATGAAATAAAAATATATTTATGGAAGTCTTTTGTACATCATAAACATTACATATGAATAGAAGCTATCACTTTGTTCATATTCTCTCACTATTACCAATGACTTGAGATTTCTATCAATGTGTTACTAATTTGCCACAAAAATGTTACTTTTAAGAAAGAAATCTATAATAACAGTCATGGTACAGTCCTTTTTTTGTTCTATTGCTGATTGTTAATATTTTTTTTTAGATACAGAGCTTTCTGGGATGAGAATTAACTTGCACTAAGCCAGATCTCCCAGTGTCCTGTGTGGTTAGGTTCTCACACTGGACTCATCTGGGAAGTTCTTATTTTGAGAATAAGGCAAGAAAAGGAGAGAATGTCTGTAGTTTCCTTTTTCTTTTCACACTTATCCCAGCCAAAGGGTGGCATCACGGTTCACAGAGAGCTGTTTCTACAGCACTTTGCTACCTGCACTTGTCTAGAGATCCTTCAATGTTAAGATGTTATAGCCTGAAAAAAAGAGCCTTCCTTGCTAAAGTGACTTTTTTTGGTGTAAGTTTCATTTTTTTGTTGTTTGGATTTTTTTTTTACATTTTACATATAAGACATTTCCCAAGAAAAATGTCACTTCTGCAAAAGCTAATTTTTCTACACAATGGAGAAAAATATATTAAATTATTGAATTAAAATTGAGAGCTTTAACTAGCTGAAAAAGATGAATGCTTCTAACGTTTTACCTGTGACATCTGTATATTCCTCAGCATCCTCGGCGACAGCACTAAGAGGGGCAGAAGCACAGTTAAGCAGCAGATACACAGAAGCCCAAAAAATCTGTTCTTTCTTCATTGTAGAAATTATCTCTGAAATACAGAACCCAGATATACTTAATTAAGAGTAATGTCAAATTGTCTGCAGACTGGTAGGAATCTTATGCATGCCTCCACATGTAAATTTCTATGACATTTAATGTGTATTCTCACACACTGCTGTCCACAAATTCCATGAGTTATATTTAAAACGTGTATGTGGCATTTACTACTGTAGACAGACATTCAGGACATATGTCTAATATTCAAGTACATAGCTCATTTTCAGCCTCCAGAATGCAAATTTAAAATGGCAGTATTTGAGAGACATGGGTAAATCCTCATCAACATGGCTAAGTATGTATTAAGATCCATTTTCATATGAGATTTTATCTGCATCAGTTCTAATGCAAGAATATTTGCTACCCTTCTTTCTCAGCCAGAATTAATTACATTTTAATATTTTGTACATTCTTCTGTTATTTCACTAATGCAGGCAACGTTAAATTCCTGATTTCACTTTCCCTTTGTTTCAGTACTTCTTTTATTTATTTATTTTTTAAATATTTATTTATTTTTGAGACAGAGAGAAGCAGAGCATGAACGGGGGAGGGTCAGAAAGAGGGGGAGACAGAGAATCTGAAGCAGGCTCCAGGCTCTGAGGTGTCAGCACAGAACCCGACGTGGGGCTGGAACTCACAAACCGCGAGATCACGACCTGAGCCGAAGTCAGACGCTTAACCGACTGAGCCACCCAGCGCCCCCAGTATTTCTTTTTAAAAAAAGAAAGGCACTTCACAAATTTTTGTCTTGTTTCCTTTAAAATAGATTTGTTTTTATAACCAATTTCCGAACCAGGTTTTCTATGAGAGAGCAAACAGAACTGCGGACAAAATACATGTCTAGCATTCTATTGAGTCCTTTACCTCAGTTCGTTCACCCTCATTTTAGGCAGTTATTATCTGATTCAAAAGAGTTTAACAGAAAAGTGACTTTAAGTGATAAACCAACACATTTACACTCTGAGGGAAATAGATTTCAGCAGGAAAGTGAGACTTCCTCTTTCAAAATGATTTAGAGATCCACAGTAAAAACTAATGGAAAACCACACTGAATTTTTTTTAAAGGTTCTGTCTCCTTTGGATTCAAAGATGGAAGGAAATGTGTTCATGCAGCACAGGAAGAGAAAAAGAAAGAACATAGGCACATGTTCAGCCACTGAGGATGTTATCAGAGTCAGGAAAGAAAACAAAATCTTATCAGTAAATAGTCACAAATGCAGGAATGGATATTCCATCTAAAACAATTTAGAGAATTCTGTGTTTACGCCTATAACAAATCATAGCTGCAATACACGCCATTAAGGTGTTTGTAGCTTTGTAATAAATAATAAATAATCCCCCTTTGCTTTAAGCATCATAAAAATTACTATTGAAAGGTACAACCTGTTTTCTCACAACACTTTGTAAATGTTAACATACACTTGATTTTTTAGTCAATAGCAGTGTGACGTACCTTCTATATCATATCATAAAGTATTTGAATCCACAAATAGGTATGTATATATATATATGCATATAGATACATAATTTTGAAGAGTCTATCAGTTAAATTTCTAGTCTTTCAAGGACTCTTCTATTTCTATTAGTTTCTTTGAGATATACAACCTTGTTATATCTTGATTGTAAAATACAGCATGTTTTCCTGTCCCATGGTTTAGGGAGCAGGCTGAGGTTGGGTGCTTGAAGAACTTGATGAGAATTTGGGCTTCAAACTCATCAAATTATTCTCTTTAAAATATTGGCCCAGAGTGTTGCCTAATTTTAGTGGTTTTAGACTTTCCTTACTTGTAAGAAACACAAGGCAGCTCAGACAGTTTAGGTCAAAAGGTCATCATCTTATTCATTCTAGAGAAGGTAGAATAATCTAGGATCAGAAAGGAAGGTTTGTGGTTGGATCTGAGTCGGGAGCTGAATACCGCCAGGAGTCGCTCATTGCTACTGCACTCCTTAGACAAGCTTTATTCCCCCTCAGTGCAGCCCAGCCTTCTCTACAATAGTAGGATGCACCGCACTGATATTTTAAACCTTAAAACATTCTTCCATGAAAACAATGTGACTGCTTCTCTTTATGGACTAGTTTCAAATAGCTTAATAGCACTGATGGTTTCAATTTGGAAGAATTGAAACTTTTAGACCAATACATTTGAGATGACAAGCTGTTGGGAGACTGGAATCGATTTGGGGGAGCTGAAATGGACTTGTTTCAGGTTTGGAAAATAAGAAAATGTAGTAACCTTGCAAATCTTAACATAAGTGTATGGGTCTTAGGGTGGACAAATGTAGCTCCAAGAAGGAGCGGATTGTTGCTTCCAGAAGAAAGGAAGGGTGTCGGACAGATAAAACTACAAGAATGCCCTGCAGCGAACTACAGCTAATTAATGACACACAGAGTTTGAAATCAAGTTAGCAGATTACCAGTCCAGTCCTCTTTCTTCTCCACAATGTTGCCCCTGAAGAGTGGCCAAAAGCACTCAGCCTTCCAGAGCAAAAGACTGATTTGGGCACACCACTGAAAAAATACTATAATTTGTTATGACACTGGTAAAGCTGTAGTTTGTGGAGATCACTTAAAGTGAACCGACTTAATTACATATCATTGTAATTGATTTCTTTTTAAAACTTCCAAAAGCATCACTAACTTACATTGCAAAACGGCAAACAAGACAGCAAACCCAAACTGAAGCTGTACATCGGTTAACTCACTATACCTTTCTGCATTCTACTTTCTTGAATATCTGGCCCCATTAAAAATATCTACTACCCAACCTGGTATCGTACAGAAAGATTGACTCAAAGGAGTTCAAAGATCTGACTGTGAAATATAAAACATTAAATCTTATAAAAGAAACATAGGATAATATGTTCATGACAAGGTTGGCAAAGATTTCTGAATCAGGACATAGCACCAATTATAAAATAAAATACTGTTAATTACATTTCATTAAAATCAAGATTTTCTGCTCATCAAGATAAGCACCATTAAGACACTGAAAAGGAAGTTGTGAGAAAGTGTTTGAAACTCATGTATCTGAAAATTATACATTGAAAATGTATAAGGAATTAAAAATAAATAATCCAATTAAAATGGGTTAAAGATTGAATAGGCACTTCTCAAAAAATTATATGCAAATGGAAAATAAGCATATTAAAAGATACTCAACATAGTCATCAGAAAAATTAAAATTAGCACTATTGTGAGAGAGTACAACTAAAATTAATAAAAGCTGACAATATAAAGTGTTAATGAGCATTTGGACCTTTACTATTGTTGGTGGGATTATGCTATCGTCTGAATTATTAGTGTTCCCCAAATTCTTATATAGAATCTTAACTCCCAAACGTGATGGTATTAGGAGGTAGGGCCTTTCAGAGGTGATTAGGTCTTAAGGGATAAGGTTCATGCTCTTATAAAAGAGACCCCACAAATACCCCTCATCCTTTTCACTATCTGAGGACACAGCAAGAAGGTGCCAGCTATGAACCAGAAGGAGGACCCTCAGTCTTACCAAGTCCCCTTTAATTTTTAATTATATAGCAAGAATATATTACATAAAGGTGTTATGTTAGTGACTAGTTGTGCATGATGATATGTTAGACACTAAGAGAGACTTAAAAATCTAGAGGAAGCCTTGAATTTACATGTAACCAACAGAGTTAAATAAATATACAATGTTAATAACAATGCCTAGATAAATTGTCAGGATATCTTTGTATATGCCAGGTACATAGTAGTGGACAATAAATTCATGTTAAATTATTTAACTTGAATAAAAATAGTATTTATCTTTTGGGGGCCAAAATTTAAAACTCCTATACTTAGCTCTGCCAACAGCCTGTTAAGTAACCTTTGGAAATAAATTTATATTTTTAAACCTGATTTATAAAACACATGACTTTTGCTACATTGTCCTTAAATTCCATTTAAGTTCTAAAAATTTATGCATTTTAATGAACCCATTTTATGCACTTCACAGAATAATCTATAGTTAGTATAGTTTACGTTTTCTATTTTTTACTTTAGTGCTAATTTGCAGCATCAATTTTATCCTTTTAGGTCAAGATGTGTTCTCAGAATATGAGTTAGGCAACGTGTTATTAGTTGTTACATATATGTATATATATATATATGTCAGAATTAAAAAACTTAGAAAGGTTTCTCAACTGTAGGACTTTCATAGAATCCTTATTATGGTAATGTACAATTGTATTTTCTATGGGAGAATATACTAAATGCATTTCCAAATTTATATGGGACTACTGTCCCATAAAATATTTTGGGGAAATACTTTGACAAATAATGTTACGTTTAAGGAAAAGTCAGTAGATTTTCTGAACCAGAAAAATATTAAAAAGCACGATGTGATCTGTGCTTTAATAAAATCCAGCATATATGGAAACATGTCAAAAGGGCAAAGTTTAAGGAATTAACAGCTAGAATGTTGCAGAAGATCAGATTAAAATTATGAACAGGGAGTTGTCCATGGAACCACAGAGAAAAGGGCAGGTAGGAGAGACTTTTTAAGTATTGACAAAACTGAGTGAGTAAATGCAGGATATGAAGGGCAGAGAATTCCAGCACATCCTGAGTAAACTGTTGTGTAATCATAGAAATAGGGAAGTTAATGTAAGTATTGGTGTGCATATCAGGGATGAATTCAGTCTGGACAGATTGTATGTGAAGGTTATGTCTTCTAAGTGGGCCTGTATAAAGGCAATTAAAAATATAAGACAGGAGCTGGGAAATGTTTCGCTATACCATCATCATCATCCTGAGGTAGGGTCATTTCACCAAGGGAAAGGGTGCCCAATAAGTCATTTCCAGCTCCCCTTCAATTTTATTTCCTGTCTTTCCTGTAATTGCTTGGCTTTATGGACACTACCTACTAATCTGTTGGCCTCACTGAAACTGCTAATTCTTGAACAAACCATACAACTTCTAGGTTTAAGACTTTGAAACTACAATTTTTTTTAATTAATTAATTTATTTGAGAG